TATCATTTATAACAATAATACAGACTCAATAAGCTTCTTTTTTCTTGTCTGTGATGCTTTTTCTATTAATTTCCTTCCCAGAAATGAACCAAATACAGATATATAAGCCTACTGTGTGTAGTTTTAAAAGTTTTCTAGCACGCCTTCAAATCAAGAAGACCTCATGAATGTTTGGTGACGACATTTTCCAGGAGTTTTTTTTTTGACAGTCTAGGACAGCACTTGTTTAATGATTGTTAGTTCGCTTTGTTCTCGCCACAACCTTTTGAAAGTGAAATGAATGAAAACAGGCGAGTTTCAAACTAAACACACACTCAGGTTAATGTAGGCGATGTGAGCGAGGAGCTAAAATTCAAATTTTCCAGGAGAACATAGATTATTTCCAGGATATTTGGTCGTTTTAATCGATTTCCAGGTGTTTCCGTACATGGATGAGTTGCATACTGGATCACAAATCGTGCTCGTAGGCACCGCACCTTAAAAGTCCGATTTCAAACATCTCACTGTAGGAACAAACTCTGATTTCTGACTGAAAGCGGACTTTAACAACCTTCTTTTGTGTCCTCTCTCTCCAGGTTGTAGCAGTATACGGGACCTTGTCCGACTTACTATCCGTAGCCAGCAATAAGTTAGGAATCAAAGCCTCCTGTTTGTACAACGGGAAGGGTGGTCTCATAGATGACATCGCCCTCATAAGGTAAGCTCACACACTAATAATAAACCTCTAGCTGAGTGTGTTATTAGCTTCCCAACTCATCCTGTGACTTGTGTGTTTCTAACAGAGATGACGACGTGCTGTACGTGTCCGAAGGAGATCCGTTTATCGGTGAGTGCTGTCACATCTGCAGCAGGCGTCTCATCCGCTCAGTGAAAGTGTGAACAAGGTCTCAAACTTTGTCTTAATTTGTGTCACAGACCCTCAACATGAAGCCAAGGTTACGTCTGATCAGCACGGAGCACACACCGATTGGCTGACCCTTAATATTGGTGGTCGACCCTTCACCACCACCAGGTATCTGTGGACTTAATGCTGCTTTAAAGGTCCAGTGGGTAACATTTAGGAGGATCTATTGGCAGAAATGTAATGTAATATTCACAGGTAGGTTTTCATTAGTGTGTAATCAGCTGAAGAATCAGTGTGTTTTTGTAACCTTAGAATGAGACGTTTTTATCTACAGATGTTTCTACAGTAACCCTTTGATGGGGAGGGCAAAGCAATATCCAACTACACCCCTAGATGTCATTAAATACTACACATTGAGCCTTCAATGCTTTTATAAAGGTCTAGTGTCTATTTTCCAGACACATGTATCAGATCGGTACTCGTATAAGGTGATATGCAAAGTCTGGGAAGGAAGAAATGGTATCAGAACATTTGTACTTAACTTATATTCAGGTGATTTTACACTAATAAAATCATACCTATTAATATTATATTCTATTTCTGACAATAGATCCTCCTAAATGTTACACACTTGAGCTTTAATGAGTAATAAAAACATTACAAAAGACTTAAATATTCTACGTTAGATATGACCTCGTTGTCTTCCTCGCTGTCTGTTCAGGAGCACGTTGGTCAGCAAAGAGCCGGAGAGTATGCTCGCTCACATGTTTCGAGAGAAAGGTAAGTTCGTGGCTACCGAGCGGAGCGGTCGGTAAGCACTTGAGAGTCTTTGAACGGCTGTTGTTAACCTCTGTGTTTGCTCCAGACGTGTGGGGGAACAAGCGGGACCGGCACGGGGCTTACCTAATCGACCGCAGCCCCGAATACTTCGAGCCTATCCTCAACTATCTGAGACACGGCCAGCTCATTATCAATGAAGGCATAAACATACGAGGTGAGTCAGCCCGGTTCTCTCTGAAGAGGGTTTTTAAATAAAGCGCAGTGTCCTGATTGGAAGCTAAATGTCCTCAATGTCTTCCAGGCGTCCTCGAGGAGGCTCGCTTCTTTGGAATCGAACAGCTGGCTGAACAGCTGGAAGTAGCGATCAAGGTAACAGTGACCAGAGTTATTGAAAAAAAGGTGTTTTTCATTTTTATTTTATTTTTTACATTTTTGTTTTCAATTCAGTTCAGTTTCCAAGGTGGGTTTGCTTTGTTTCAGTGTTTTTATTGTTTAAAATGTTTAGTTTTTATTAGTTTCAGCATTATTTTCTGTTTTATTTTATTATAATATTGGGGTATTTATAAGGGGTAAGAATTAAGTAGTTTAGAATAGATATTACAAAACAAACCAATCCCTCCAGGATTTTTTTGGGATGGTTGTTGCCCAAGATTACACTGCAACTTTAAAACAAAAAATGTAATGCATGTTGTGATGTTTTAAGGCATTTTGTTGGCCATTAAATCACACGAGGAAAGTTAAGTTAAAAACAGTTGCGTTCTTTTGCGTGTAACTCACTAAAAATCGAAGCCAACTTGTTCTATTGAGAGTAAAATCGTATCGTAGTAGTTTGCGGATGTATGGCTCAACATTTTGTGCTGGGAGGGGCCCTATGATTGGTGAAACTTGAGGGAAACCACAGCGATTGGTCAAAAGTTGCAGCGACTGGAGGAAAATTTAAGGAGATTAGTTGAATTTACACGAACTGTTCCTGAACTAAAACTTCCGGGAGGAACTGACAAACAAACTGACTCAGTCATGTAATAAATATGAACCAGTGCCTTATTTTTCTAGTTTTTATTTCAGTTAGTTAAAATATTTTTCACACCTAGTTTGAGTTTTTAGTTTAGTTTCATACACAACTTTAATCCTGAAGGTCTTCAGATTGCACTGTTAACATTTGAAGGCCATCTGATCAGTTCCCTTGGAGGAGTCTGTTAAAATAGAACCAATATTGCACTTTTAATTCAACGTCTTTTGGACATACATATATAATAACTCTGATGGTGTCTTTCTTTGAAAACAGAACACGCAGCCACCCGAGGACCACTCTCCCATTTCCCGAAAGGAGTTTGTTCGTTTTCTGTTGGCGACGCCCACCAAGTCAGAGCTCCGCTGTCAGGTACGGATAATGAAATGGTTTTATTTACCCCGTCAGTTCACTTTTATCAATCAATTCAATGTTCAACTCTGTTCCTGTTTTCAGGGTCTTAATTTCAGTGGTGCTGATCTGTCCCGACTTGATTTGCGTTACATCAATTTCAAGATGGCTAACCTCAGCCGCTGCAATCTGACGCATGCCAACCTGTGCTGCTCCAATCTGGAGCGGGCCGATCTCTCCGGAGCCAACCTGGATGTAAGTCTGAAAACAGATTCCTGTGCACAGCATGAGCAGACCTCACTGTCGTCTGTCGGAGCTGTGTGCGGCGTTGTTAACACACACCTGCTGCCTCCTCCTGCTGTGTGGAGGAAGGGCCATGCTGACACACACCTCCTCTCACAGTCACCTCATTAAAGAGATAACAATCCTCAATCTGGTAACTTCCCATGAACTTCCTGTAGGGAGTCTTTTAGGAAGTCTTTAGAGCGTGTTGGCTGAATGACATTGTTTACTTGTGTATTTTGTCCTTTTTAAAAAGGAAACAAAACAATGTGTTGCTTCACTTATATTCTCCTCTAACCTGCCTCTGGCCTGGTGCCACAATGTTGATGTGAAGTTCGGTCCAGAGTCTGCATGCAGTATTTTATTTTGAAAATTGTCCGGATTTTCTAAGCTGTTTCTGTGTCTGACTTCCTGCCAAATTGCAAATTGCGGGTGTGATCAGCGTACATCTCCCAGTACGACGTCCTGGAAGCTTCTTGCTGGCAGCACGCAGCCTGTATAGTTCAATCTTTATGATATTTTATAGGAAACATTACATTTTAGACCACATTTACCTACCAGTACTGATCAATGCTGTCTCTCTGGCAACACTCAACAGATTATCAAAATAATTGACCAATGTGTGTTTTGTGACGCATTTAATGCATTTTAGCTGGTTGAAAAGAGACGTTCAGGCCGAATATCAACCAGTTTTCAACAAGCAATCGATGTTGAAATCCTGCTTCATGCTCGTTGTGTTGGTATTGTATTGATCCTGCTGTAACCGCTACATAACCCGACATAGAACCTATACCAATATTCCTTCATATCCTCAGTACCTGTTTTGCCACTATGGATGTGAAATATGTCTCAAATTGCATTCATAATGGTCTAAAAAGGTCTCAAAAGGTCTTAAAGTTAACCAGCTGAGACCCTGATTATGAACACTTCTATCTTTGCGTTGTCTTTTCAAAGGGCGCTAACTTACAAGGGGTGAAGATGCTGTGTTCCAACGCCGAGGGAGCCTCTCTCAAAGGATGCAACTTTGAAGATCCGTCTGGACTGAAGGCCAACCTGGAAGGTAATCCATCACAGCTCCTCAGCAAAGTGCAGGCGGATTCACATTTGTTTTAACCAAATGTTTTTTGTCATCAGGTGCTAACCTGAAAGGGGTTGACATGGAAGGAAGCCAGATGACAGGTATCAACCTGCGTGTGGCCACTCTGAAAAATGCAAAGCTGAAGAATTGTAACCTGCGGGGAGCCACTTTAGCAGGGACCGATCTGGAGGTGAGTTAGGGCTGTCAGAAGGGATTATCTCTGGAAACGTCCGTGTTGACTCAGCTGCAGTCTTTGTGGAGCCAGAGAGGAAGAAACAATCTGAATGCATTGTTTTATAGATTAATATACTGTATAATTCTGCTGCATCCCAGATCTTGTGCCGCAGTAACTTTACCGCTGATAGCACAGCAGCAGGAACCTCCCCTGGACATAAATACATAAGCACTTAACACAGTGGGACAGGGAATTAAATCTTTCTTTATCTTTATTGGAATAAAATGCATTTGGTTGTTTGATTATTTTTTTTTTTAAGTATTATTTTTTGGCCTTTATTTTGATAGAGATAGCTGGGGAGAAGCAGGAAGGGGGGGCAGAGAGAGAGAGAGGGGACGACATGCGGCAAAGGGCCGCAGGTCGGACTCGAACCCGAGCCCCTGCGTATATGGGTCGCCAGCTCTACCGACTGAGCTAACCGGGCGCCCTTAGTTGTTTGGTTTTACAAGTAAATAAAAGTGTTGGTTTTGCCAGACTGTGAGATTAGACTTTGCCTTGTGTTCAAAGTAGAGGACTATTTATATAGTGAATGAATATATTCATCTCTTATGACTGTAAAGTGGATATTGATGGGTTTTAGACTCTTGGTTGAACAAAACAAACATTCTAAATAAGTCATCTGGAGCTCTGTGGACAAATAATCATTAGAGAAAATTATTGACGATGAAAATAATCGTCGTTTGCAGACCTTTGGCAGGAATGAAACTGCCACCAAAAGTGTGAATGTTTTCCAACCTGCTGCTGTATTACATTAAAGGTTGTTTATGAAATTCCCTGCCACTAGATGTCGCAGTAGAGCACCAGCATCTCAGACCAAAACAAATGGGTGCCACAGCCCACCAGACTTCATAGATTTTACCTTCAGATCATCGTAACTTCATTCAAAGTGGACAGAAACAGAATAAAACTCATTTAACCATCTCTGTTAGTGTTTCCAACAACCACCAACCGGTTTGGGAAATAAATCCTTAGATTCACCGACGTAGATGATAAGAAACAGCAGTTTCAGTCGAGCAGACCGGCATGAACAAACCACAGAGAGGCTTCATACAACACAGGCACAGTTGACTGTAATCGTTTACACAGAGAATTACTGTTGCTCGATATCTTAATGTTTTAAATATCATATATAAACTTTTAAATAAACATTACAGTTACATAGCAGAGTTGTTTTTAACCTCCTGTCTCTCCTCTGTTCTGTCTCTGGCTGCTGTTTGAAAGAACTGTGATCTGTCCGGCTGCGATCTACAGGAAACCAACCATGAGAGCCCAACGTGAAAGGAGCCATTTTCGAAGAGATGCTGACCCCGCTGCACATGTCACAGAGCGTCAAGATAACTCTGCAACACTCCTACAAGTCCAGTGTGGACCCAGCTGGCTTCTGTTAATCAGCACTTCAGTTTCACTCACAGTACCCCCCCCCCCCCATTAACTTACAATCTCTCATTGCCTGTCTGCAGCACAGGTAGTTGTATGCACATCCCTGGCATTCCACCTATATTGAGTTAGCTTTAAATATCTTGCACTAGAATTTATTCAGGGTTGTGTCTGTATGTTTGTATGGTAGGAAATGTTCAGCTGCGTATATCACCAAAACAAAATAATGTTCCTAGTGTGTGTACATGTTGTTCTGGATGCGATCCAATGACTATACTCATGTATTGTTTTATTATAATTTATATTCACTTTATACTACGTGGGAGTCGGATTGTCTGCGTGCGGTGAATGTCAGCACTGAGCTTTCACTGAGTTCTTGCTTAGCAGAAACAGAAGGGTCACTCACCAATAACTGTGTCATTATATATTCCTCTTTTAAGTGTGTAACTTAATTTTGCTGGATTCAACCTATTATAAAGGAAGCAATGCAAGCCAAAGCCATAACAATAGCACAGTCTAAAAGGCTGAAAGTGCTGTTAGTGCACCACGAAACTATGCGACGGGCTACTTCTAAACACAGCTTGGGTATGCAATACGTAATTTACAGCTGTGAAGCGTCTCCTTTCCTACTTTTGATTATTGTGTTCTTAAAAAGCTTTTCCGTTTGGTTTTGTGAATCTACCTCTTTTTTTAATCCGGTGTGCGAGCGATCCACGGTTGCATGCGTTTGACTGTGGCGCCGCTTTATTGTGTAATGTTTGTGTCATTTGTTATTCTTCCAGTTGTGAGAAAATAATCAAACTTGGTGTGCTTTAACAGTAGGGCTGCAACTGAGGGTTACTTTCATTATCTGTAGGTAATCTTCTCGATTAATCGATCCCCAAAGCTCGAGCTGACGTCCTCTAATGTCATGTTTTGTCCACAACCCAAAGATATTCCGTTTACTGTCATAGAGGACTTTAAAAAAGAAACTATTCACATTTAAGAAGCTGAATGAGACGTTTTTGTCTTTAAAAATGACCCAAAATGATTCATCAATCGATGAATCGACCGATGGTTGCAGCTCTATTGAGCAGGAAGCCATTTTCACTTGTTCATGTCGTTAAAGTGGGTTTGCCTGGAAACATACTCCCATGTATCGAAGTATATCACTTAATCATGCTTTGAACTTATTTGCACACATATACTTATAACATGTTATACCTTTTACACCAAAAATGTTTGGTGCTTGTAATCTTACGTAAATCAAATCCAGCGTCTCCAAAACTTCCACAAGAGTCACTGTTTAGAGTCGGCGGGTGTTTGTTTCCCCCGCCGATCTTCAGTCCTCTACTGGACGGCGTCTGTTTGCATGTGTGAAGAGCTGCACTCGACTCTAAAGCTGTAGCTCAAAGCTGCTCTGATGCAATACTACTCACTCAGTTTAACAGTAGGTACCCGGCCTGTGAGAGCGAGGGATGAAGGCAATCATATTTCAGCTCAAGCGTGAAAGTCGACGGTTATTTATTTTGATAAATCTCACTGAACGCAATATGAGGCGAGGGTTGCTTTGTGTTTGAGACGGGGGGCGGTGTAGGTCTCCCCATCTATGATTATTGCACTCGACCATGGAAATATATTTCCATAAATGACTGTTATAAATAAACTGCTATGAAGAAGAAAATGTCTTTGTCATTTGATTTTTAATCATTTATTTTGTCTCAGTTAATGACTAATAATGTGTGTTTCCACAGTTTTCTAATTTATTGAGGTGAATCTTTTTACTGATGAATTAAGATAAGATTAATTAAATTATTGTTATTATTATACATATTATGAATATTCTTTTATACATTATATTTTGGGGTCATCCATCCCATTCTTGTGAACATGATATCTCAGGAACGCCTTGAGGGAATTCTTTAAAATTTGGTACAAACATCCACTTCAGAGGTTACCAACCTGGGGGTCAGGACCTTCTCTATGGGTCGCCAATGCTTCACGGGGGGGTCACAAGGCCTTCTTGATTTTAAGGCATGTAGGAAAACTTTAAAAATATACTCAGTAGGCCTACAGCTCAGAAATTAGTTTACTTCTGTGAAGAGAAGAAAAGTAAATTATCTAATACAGTGGTTCCCAACCTGGGGGTCAGGACCTTCCCTAGGGGTTGCCAAGCTTTCTTGATTTTAAGAGGTGTCAGGAAAGTTTTTTACAAGGAAAATGTGAAGTCAGTAGCTCAGCATTTCATTCAGTTCTATGTAGAGAACTAAATGAATTTTTTTAAGTTGATATAATGAAAGATCTGAGCTGAGCACACACTTTATTCACTCTGATAAACAGCCTCGTTCTGCATTAGAGAAGTTAAAACAACCAAACAGCTGATAGAACAATGAGACTGAATTAGTCAAAAAAGAAGATTATTAAGTATATATGATTGTTAAGATCCATAATACAGACAGAATTATATAAAAATATTAAGAAAAACTCAAAACTAATTTTTACACAAACTTCATGCAGTTATTGTCATTGTTTGGGTTCATTGTACAGTTTATCAGCTGTTGCTGTTATGCACTGAATATAATATGAAATATATATTAAATATGTCACTTAATCAGTTTACGAGGATAGAAAATGGGTCCCTTAAGGAAAAAGGTTGGGAACCAGTGGTCCACTTGGACTCAAGGATAAACTGATTAGATTTAGGTGGTTGAAGATATATATATAAGATATATTTTGACCTGTGACATTAATATTCAGAGTGTTTTTTTGATCTATTGTGATTACACAGAAATGAGAATAAATTGGCCAGATGGGGGCAGCAGACTCAGAGGCTGCTGTGTCAAGAAGCAGAGCACAAGGAGGCAAAGAAGTTCAAATAAACCGGCTGTAACAACGTCATAAACGCGCCCGAAATAGCAGAAAATGGTCGATGCTTCGTGGCCAAAGCTCGTCCCACGTAACCTGTTCACACACCATGTGTAATCTTTTAAAGCAGCTCTGCGGGTCGCCAGTAAAGTGTTGCTTAATCCCACTTTGTGACCCCCTGTAGTGAAGTGTTAGAAGAAGCATAGGCTTATATAAACCTCTGCAAATAAGCAGGATTCACAGAGGACAGCAGAATATATCAGAGAAGGTAAAGACCTCAGTGAGAACTGTGGCAGTGAAGGTCAGTAATGTGCTTTTATGTGCTACATGAAGCTCTTTGTCTCCTCAGAATGGCTCCACAAACCTTCGCACTGTGGCTGCTGCTCGTGGGGACGCTGCTGGGGCAGGGCTGCTGTCAGCACTGGTCCTATGGGCTGAGTCCAGGAGGGAAGAGGGAACTGGACGGCCTCTCAGAGACACTGGGCAATGTGAGCATTCTCCTCTTTCGTCATCAAATGTGATGTTTAGAACTGTGTTTAAAAAGCCTAAATGCATGTTATTTTAACTGTTATATGACAAAATAACCACAAGATATTAAATGCTTTTTAAATCCTCTGACTGCAGACGTGGTGGAGAGTTTCTGTAACTTGACTGACTGCTGTATTGTACTTCCTCTTTGTGTTCTTTTAAATCAGTGGCTATGCATTCAGTTGACAGCAGGGGCGTTTCCAGAAGTCTGGGGTCCCACTGGCCACCCCTGAAATCTGATTGGCCACCCTTATTATCCTTTCCTTATTTTAAAGCTGTGATGAAGATACTGCATCATATGAAACTAGACGACCTAACACATCAATTGCTACCGACCAGGGGGGTAAATAAGGCTTTAAAGTTGGGCAAAATTTTGGCAATGGACATTTTCAAAGACCTCTGACCTCAAGATATCTGAATGAAAAGGGGTTGTATGGTTACCCACAAGTCTCCCCTTTATAGACACTTCATGCTTATACAATGCATGTGGTATAAATGTGTTATTTTAGTCAATATTTGAGTATTTCTGCAGACTAGGGTGCATAAACAGTGTTTGAATTACATAAATTGGGAATGAGTGGAACACCCGAGCAACGTGCAGTATTTTGGCATTTTGTTTTTCTCTCCAGCAGATAGTCGGGGGCTTCCCACACGTGGAGACGCCCTGCAGAGTTTTAGGCTGTGCAGTGGAATCACCTTTCCCCAAAATATACAGAATGAAAGGATTCCTTGTAAGTTTATCTGCTTTCTGTTTGTCAGTGCTGTTTATTTATTTATGGCTCGTCTGATGTCAGAGTGATTTGTTGTTCATTCGATTTACTGTCAGGACCTCGTGCTTCTGATAAAGTTTGAATTTATTCTCACAGATTGAATCTCTGGTTCTATTTTCAGGACGCAGTCACCGACAGAGAGAACGGACCCAGAACATATAAAAAATGATGTTTAATTCTACAATAAATGAGTATATAAGCAGATAAGTGGTTGTGGTTATTGCGTGAGAAATCCAAGCTACAGACGAAGGAGAAGAAAGGTTAGACTTTGTGGTCAATAAACCAAAATATACCCCGGCACACTGCTCTGTAAAAATGAAAAGACCTTCAATTAATGGCTGTTTCAGGGTTTCAGGGGATTTTTTGGGGGGATTGTTGACTAAAATGCCTGGCAGCTATTTCTGAAAGATTGCAATACATGCTGCAATATTTGGAGGCATTTTTTTGGAATGAAAATCTGAACAAGAAAGGGATTTTTTGTGTTATAATTTATTTATAATCCAAGTTCTGAGAATAAACAAAAACAAGTGTAAAACAACAGTAATATTCTGGCAGTAAAATAACAGAAAATACAGTTCTTATAATTAAAATGCAGGTTTTATCTTTTATTTTATATTAAATCTTTTTCTAAATACAGGCCAACGCTAATAATCAGCCTTAAATTTACAGCAGAGTGCTGTTATTATTGGATTCTTCTCTGTCCCCTTCTCTTCTGCTCTTCTTCATCTTCATCACTGTCTTCCCACTCTCCATCTTCCTTCGTTTACGTCCCCCACCTAACTTCATCTTCTGTGTCATCTTCCTCCTCTTCATCTTCCCTTCGTTACAATACCACCTTTCATACCGTTCAGTTTTCTCATTATCACTCTTCCCTTTCTCATCCCATCCTCCTTCTCTCTTCCTCTTCTTCATCTTCACCACTGTCCTCTCCACTTCCCACTCTCTTCCTTTTCCCCTTTCTCTCCTTCATCTTCCTCCTCTTCTCTTAGCTTTCTGCCATTTCAATCCGTCTTGTTCTTCCTTCATCTTCCTCCTCTTCATCTTTCCTTCGTTTCAATACCACCTTTCGTACTGTTCAGTTTCCTCATTATCACTCTTCCCTTTCTCATCTCCTCTTCTTCCATCCGATTCCCACTCTCCATCTTTCCTCATTTACCTCCAATCTTCCTCTCTAACTCCCATTCACCCTCTTCTACTTAACCTTCCCGTCTCCTTCCTTATTGTTCCTTCATCCATTTATCTTCCTCACTTTGACTGTCCACACTTTCTCTTCTTATCCTCCCTTCATACTGTCCTTCCCTTCCTTCTCCACTCCACTTCCGTTCCCTCCCTATCCTTCATCCTTGTTCCTTTTCATTTCCACTCTTTCTCTTAATTTTCCTTCCCTTTCCCGCCATCCTCCTTCCCACCCTTCTCCTCCGCAGAGCGTTCAGTGTGTTTTGGGAGGGAATAAAGAAGAAGGTGGAGGGCGGTGTGGAGACCACCCAGGTTTCTGGAGGATGAGGAGAATATCTTCGTGGACTCTGGAGGGAGGGAATGTGGGAATGTGGAAGTTATTTTCAGTCAGGCAGTCAGAGGGACACCACGGGGGGATTCATGTGGGGTCCTGAGCTCTCCCAGAATTCATCTTTTATCTGTCTCTCCCCTTCCTCCCTTTCCCTTTCCCTCTTCCTCTCCTTCATATTCTAATAGTTTTTAGCTTTCTGTCGTTTCTGTCCTTCTTGTGCTTTACTTCTTCCATCCTCCCTTCCCTACCTATATCTTCCTCCCCTACCTCCTTTACTTCTTCATCCTCTCTTTCTTTCGCCTTCCTTCCTTTATTGCTCTATCAGGTGGTCGAGCCCTCTCCCATCCATCCTCACTTCCTTGTCATTCGTTTCCCTTCTTCTACCCTCCACTCATTCTCTCCTTTATCTCCCTCCTGTTTTGTTTTTCTTCCTATCCCTAATCTTCCTCCTCTACCTCTCCATACTTTCTTTCCATCATCTCTCTCTCTGTCCCATCTACCCTTCTTCTCTTTACTTCTTCCTCCCTGTACCGTTTCATGCTTCCTTTCTTTGACCACATTTCCTCTTAATTTCCTACTTTTTCCGTCCAGTTTTCCTTCCTCTCCACCTCTCTGTCTCTTCCTCTCATCCTTACCTTCCTCCTTGTCTCCACATCTCTCATCTGTCTTCTTGTACCTTCCTTTCCACCTCACATCCATCATCTTCTGCTTCATCTTCCCTCTCTCCTTCTTTGTCCTTCCTTTACATCTCCACCCTTTCCACCCTCACCCTGTCTCTCTCCTTCACCTCACCCACCCTCTCCATAATTCATCCTTGTTCCTTTACATCTTCACCCATTTTGTCTTTCTTCCTCCTTCCTTAGAGATGGCACTCTTCCATCCATCTGCTTTCTCCTCCTTCCTCATCCTCATCCTTATTATTATTTATTAATGCATGTTTTACATGTTGTATAACCCTCCTCTTCACTCATGTGTCATTTTTGGTGATCATTTTGTGTTTTGCCTGCGGTAATGAATGTTTAATAAAATTATGTTATTATATATGAATACTTTTTTCTTTGTATTAATAGTACATCATAACATTTTTTGGAAAAAGAATTTTGGTTGCACTAAAGAAAGAGTTCCCATTAACAATCTATTACTATAATATATATTACCAATCTTTTTACTTTTCCTTTTCTATCATTTAGTAAACTGACTCTGAATCTGTCTGTATTATGTATTTAACAAATTAAATCATTCATTCTTAATAGGCTTCTTTTTTTTTGTTTTGACAATTTCAGTGTTTTCTTGTCCCTGGCACTTGTTCTATTAGACAATTTACTTTACATTTACATTTCTTCACAGAAGTACTGAGATATAGGTCTACTGTATATAATTTTAAAGTTTTCCTCGCAACCTCCCATGAAAGCTTAAACAAGCTTCCTAACCACTACAGCATTTTTGTAATGTAACTTGAAACACTGCGCACATTTAAGTTCACTCAAAACAGTTATTACTTCAACAGTTAATTTTTTAATTAGGTTTAATTAATGGGAATGAGTGACTGAACATTTTTTGGAGGATTAAATTATGATAACTTACTTCTGTGTTCAGTATTTTTCTCTTAAAATCATTTTTGATCATCAGCACTGGAAATAGATGTACTGAAGAGGCTGCAGCACTCCCTAAAATCCAGCATAATGGAAACTATTAGTTCATAAAAATGTTCAAACTTCTAATTACTGGCAGGAAAGAGGTTTAACCTTGTTTTTTATCCGTTTTATCTGCAAAGAAAATGTTGTTAACTATTAAATAGGCTACAAATTATGAGTAAATTCAAATTAATGTAAGAACCATGAATGTCATGCAGTTGGTATTTAGTATGACGTCATTATAAAGACTTTCTCTTAGAGCTCCCAACTCTGACTGACTTCCATCATCCCTGATTTTGAGCTCAGCCACCAGATGGCACCAGAAAACAACAGGAAGCTTCATCCTTCAAGTTTATACTCCTTTATTGTTATACTTTAGTGCCTCTCTGATCCCCAAAATAATCTGCTATAAAATCCAAAATTTTGCAGACAATCTCTCAGACTGCTGCTGAGACTTTGCAGTATTTCCCATCGGGCTGCATCAGTCAACACCGTAATATACTGTAATTTACTGCATTTTATTATGTTTGTTCAGCATGAGAACATGTGTCTGATGCCAATTTATTGTATTGTAATAGCTCATTGCTTGCTCGGCTTGTTTCGCATACACTCCACAATCTCCTCTGGCTTATAAAAGTGCTTATTGATGGTTGGATGGGCAACATGAAAATGATTTCACCAGGTGACACATGTTTGCCAACAGTGTATGGAATTTAAACAAACTGAATAACAAATCGAAGTTCATTCATCATAGAGATTTGACAGTGATACAACAGCCTGTAATATCCTGCTGCTCACGCTCTTATCTCCAGTGGAAAGTGTGTTTTTCAAAGTAGTTCAATCTCTCTGTCACTCTGCTGTTACTCAGCAAACACACAGGACAGAAAATCACTTCTATGGGTTTCATCTTGTTGGTGATACTTTTTGTTGAACACACACCCGACGCCATATGGGTCAAGTATTGTCTGCACTGAAAGTGATTTGATAAGGGATGAATATACAAAAAAAGACTAGCAACACAAGCAGGACATAAAATATTTACTCAAGATCGATACCATTGTGAACACTAAACTCTCAGCGCCCATCTACCCTCCATTTTAAAATCAAAGACATCTTATCAGAGACATTTTTCTTTTTCATTTTTCATTATTTGCTTTAAAGGTGGAAACATCAAGGCAGCCCTATTAAAGAATACATGGTATGGTGACTTCAGCACTATAATCAAGAAAATACCTGCCAGAGACCCCGCTGAGCACTGCACTCCCACAGCTGCGAGGTCCTCCAGGTTGCTTCTAATTAGTCTCACTGAGACCAGTCTGAAACTGATTGGACTAATAAAGGAGAACATGGGGCCTTAACCTCGGAGCTGATAAATAAATGTTGTGTGTTTAATGCTTGCGGACTCTGTGAGGATGAATCAACAGTTTATTAACAGCAGAGTTTTGCACAGCTGGGAAAACACAGTTAATTATGCTTTAAAGGTGGATTCCAGCCCTTTTCAACCCTTTTCACCATTTAGTGAACTGAAGAGCTGCTTAAGGGACATATTTTATTAATATTTCATATTATATTCAAAACTGTACAATGAACCCAACAGTGAACTCAGTAACTGCAGGAAGTTTGTATAAAACAAGTGATTTGGATGAATTTTGAGCAGGTTATTTCCTGTTTAGGGAACTTTTTATACAATTCTCGGTCTGTATTATGTCATTTTTATCAATCATACAGATTTAATAAGTTTCTTTTTTGAAAAATTCTGTATTTGCTTGTCCCTGGTACTTTGTTCTCTTAGACAATGTACTTTACATTTTCTTTAGTTTACTTTACTTTAGTGAACCAAATGCTTTCTAGCACACCTTAACATCAAGATAAGTTGATTTAACTTAAAAATTAATCAAACTGATCACATCAAAATTGTTAAGTAACACAAACTCAATTTTGTAAATTAAAAAAACATTCTTGATCAAGTAGCTTTCATAAATTTAAGTGACACTGGCTTCATTTAGTAATTTTATGTACAGTGAAAAC